AAAAAACTCCACAAATATACTCAGGCAAGGCAACAAAAAATTAACTCTTTCCCCTCTGACCCAGGCAGCCAAACAACTTAACATACAAAGCAGTAGGCCACCTGCCAATAAGTGCATGTCAGGATTAAAGAAAAAAAAAAAGTTATCCTGGTTTCCACATTGGCATATTGAACCTTTTTAGATGTCCACTATAAGACTGCAAAATTTCCCTTTGTAATAATAATCAACTTAACATCAAGTAAATGCTAGTTGTTTTTTAGTTGTGAGTCAGTCAAATAGCAATTTTATAGAATCCAAGCATCCCTGATTTCCAGGGGCAGTTTTATATGTTGAACATTTGTGTCTGGAATGTATGTCATTAAAACATTTTTTTTTTTTTTTATTGTTTTCAAAACCAAACAACTATGTCTAAAAAAAGAAAATCAGTACCTATGAATGTCCTTTTGCTTCTGCCCATACACTGCAAAGGTGGCTTTTCCATGGACAATTATTGGCTGCACATTTTTTCCATTTGTGGCCATCTCAAACCATGTTAAAACCAATAAAACAAGAAAATGCTGTGTATAAAAGATGTATTCCTAGCAGAGTGGTGTTGCTTTGGGCACACAGGACCCAGTGATGGAAATCCAGCCCTAAATCTCCCAATGACTTTTTACATAAATGTTTGTTAAAAAAAACTAGAATGCCAAAGGGTATCTATTTTTTTTTGACGCTTACAAAGTATTTAAAAAATGTTGTGTTAAATGCTTACAGTAAATTTTCCTTTTGAGCAGTATTGTATCCTTGGGATTGGATGTTAATTTTAGCATACACTGCAACAAACGTATTATAGTCTACTCTCTAAGTAAAAACAGTAACATAATAATTAGGATGTCATACTTTTATAGCTTTTTTTTTCTTATTGCAGAATTCATGTTATAATGTACTCTTACTGCTGTTAGTAGTGCATCAACTGTATTTAATTAGCTATGCAAGTACATTCTCTTTCTTTTTATTCAGGAAAGGCAGCTCCCCTGGATGTATTTCAAACTACCCACACATGTGCCAGTTACAAGGCAAATGTAGCTTATTTTGGGCCTGACTTGGTTATCAGAGCCCTGTTTATCACATCACATTAATTTTCATTCAGATATGAAATGGGTTGAATGAGAACATCAAGTGTGTAGTAAACATATTTTTCATTGAATTTTTTAAACAATCTTTTATATGACTACTCAAGATGTATTTTTGCTGCAGACAAGGAGGCTTTTCCAATTCAGGGCAAAGTAACCCCCTCCCCCCACTAAGTATTTTGTGACAACTGCTATGGAGGAAGGAACTAAAGGGGAGTGCTGTGAAGGTGAGTATAAGTCATGCAGGGCAAAGAGTCTTTTTAAGGTGGTTCTAAAGTCAAAATAGTGTTTTTACCTTATTGCATTCAATCTAACCAATCCAACACTGTCCCATCTGCAGCACCCCTGCTCTCTCTTTGTGGTCTCGTAGGAGACACAGGCAGGAGTGGGAGGTATTGGCTCCTGCTGCTGTCAGTCAAACTTCTGTGAAGATGGTGAGGGGGAATGGTTCTATAGACACACATGGCCTTGAACAGGACTATTTCCACACAAGTGCCCCTTAACAGCAGACTTGCTAAGGGGGCACTCAAAAGAAGGAATGGACAGTACTGCTAGAGGACTCTCAAAGAGTAGGTAAAGGACCAATATCATTGCACAAAGCAGGTAAATATAACCTTTGTTTTATTTTAACCCCCAAAAATAAAATTTTGTATCACTTTATATCAGGTATTAAACCTGGAAAACAAAAAATGTATTGTAGTGTTGACTATGTAGCAATTGTATTGCCTATTGTAATTACTGTATATGCTGTGCTTTATGTTTTCATTTTGAAAATAAAAATCGGTGAAGAAGAACATTTAGGCATACTATACTTGGGCCTATTGTCCTTGATTAAAATGGTTCTGCTGCTGGCCAAGTTTACACTGCAGTATCTTAATGCTTGCAGTAAAACTCCAGCCAGTGCTCTTTTTCTCTGTTAAATTTGGGCATAGCCTTGCTATTTAAAATTGTTTTGCTGCTGGCCAATTTTGCACTGCTGTATCATATGCAATCTCTCTATTCCTAATGAGAGCTTGATAGAAGTTGGCCAGCAGCAGCACAGTTTTGCTTTTCTTTGTTCTTAAACAAAAGCAGGGACAACCAAAACAAATTACTGTCCGATGTCTATCTGCTTGTCACAGAAGGTCTATTATTGTTTGATTAATAAAGCATGTGTAGCTGCTAAAATGGAAGCATTTTTTTTCAAACATTGATGAAACAAATTGAGGTGCTGCTGCTGTATGTAAGCCAAGTTAATTGTACAGAAAGAAATCAATTTATTAGCCACATATGTGCTGCCAGCCTATGCTATCACTGAGACTGCCCATGGAAATCATATTTTTTCTGCACAGGGCGTTTTTATTTCTCAGAAAATAAGTACAGGAACTCAACCATGTCTCACAACCGCACCCCCTCCACACACACACACACACACGCGCGCACACACAACCACCACAAACTGCATCAAATAGAAGTTGTGGTCAAATTTCACTAACAGTGGGAGGTTCTTAATGGGGTATTAAATTCCGGGAGTGCATTATATACAGAGGGTGGAGTTCAGGGGTTCACCACACACAGACTGAAGCGTTCAAGGGGTGCGCTATGTACACAGTGCAGAGTTCAGGAGTGCATTACACACAAAGTGCAGAGTTCAGAGGTGCGCTAAACACAGAGTGCAGAGTTCAGGAGTGCATTACACACAAAGTGCAGAGTTCAGAGGTGCGCTACACACAGAGTGCAGAGTTCAGGAGTGCATTACACACAAAGTGCAGAGTTCAGAGGTGTGCTACACACAGAGTGCAGAGTTCAGGAGTGCATTACACACAAAGTGCAGAGTTCAGAGGTGCGCTACACACAGAGTGCAGAGTTCAGGAGTGCATTACACACAAAGTGCAGAGTTCAGAGGTGCGCTACACACAGAGTGCAGAGTTCAGGAGTGCATTACACACAAAGTGCAGATTCCAGAGATGTGCTACACACAGAGAGTGCAGAGTTCAGGAGTGCATTACACACAAAGTGCAGAGTTTAGAGGGGTGCTACACACAGAGTTCAGGAGTGCATTACACACAAAGTGCAGAGTTCAGAGGGGTGCTACACACAGAGTGCAGAGTTCAGGAGTGCATTACACAAAAAGTGCAGATTCCAGAGATGTGCTACACACAGAGTGCAGAGTTCAGGAGTGCTTTACACACAAAGTGCAGAGTTTAGAGGTGTGCTACACACAGAGTGCAGAATTCAAGGATGCAACACATACAGAGTTCAGATTTCAGGAGTGTGCTACACACAGAGTGTAGATTTCAGCCCTCTTTCACGGCTGCTAACCTCTGCATCTCCCATATACATCTCACTTTCACCCCTCCTCAGCCATGACCTCTGAACCCAACCCCCTCCATCCACCATCTTCCATGTGTCTTACTTTTGTTGTTGTATTAAGCTGAAGCACCAAGCTAATTCTAGTACCTCCCAAAATACTGTGCGTGGTTCCACCTCTCTGACTTACAGGGAGATAATTTAGTGGGGGCATTGGAATCCAGGAACTGGGAAAAATGGAGATCACAGAGGATGCAACCTACCATGCAATGTCCTCCTCTGCCCATGACTGCACTGCACCCTGGGCACCTGCATCTCACTTGTCCCCATCCTGAACTCAGTGGGAGCCACTCAGAATATCAGATCTGTGGAAGCTACTGGGTGACAAGCTATCACTTATAAACATAGAAGCCAGACTTATGTGTTCACAAGTGATAGTGGTGAGGAAGGAGGATGTGCTTGACAAAAGAGCACACCTGGTGTGTAACTCTCAGTGCGCATCGCAATATGCCCGGTGACGTCAATCCTGATGCTGCACTCCGCAAGTGCTCCAGCCCTTTCTCCTGGTTCTCTTCCACATATGGTCAGCTTCCAGGATCCAGAGGAGCGACGGCTACAAACCGACAGCGAGAGCAGTGACCCTAGTGCACTGGAGATGGACTTTTAAAGCCAGTTTTATCCTGCTAAATGTGAGTTTCCTATATTACTCCTCTTTAATAAACAGCCAACAGTCTGCACTCAGAGGCTCTTCTGTGTTTTCTTTTTTTCTCAGCAGGGAGCAGAGGGTCTGAGCTGGAAGTGGTGGAACTGAGTTCCAGCAAGTTCCAGCTGAAAAAAAGCCCTGAACTTCTACAGCACTATGTACAGTTTTAAAGCATCCCGCAAGCATGTTATTTGAAGGATTTGTGCATTTTCATTATTTCCCTTGAAGCTGCATAAAAAGACCTGCTATGCAATTATTTTTTGTTTTTTTTTAACTGTTTGCATTGAACCCTACCAATCTTCTTCCTTATAGTTTTTGGGCAGCAAAGATACACTTTTTTTTCTCCTTGGCCTACGAAATGCTTATTTGTTCAGAGTGCCCCTTGGGAACGGATTTCACAGATCATGATTGACACGTTGTATGTTTGCATCTATGCCCAGTTACAGCAATCTCAAGTAGGTCTGGGAGATTTCCATAAATTATTATAGGTGCACCCAAACTGTTTACCAAATAAATAAAAAAACAATTTCGTCTGATATACTGTATGTCTCCCATGGCGGAGCCCAGATTCCCATGCCTTTAATGTTACAAAAGTTTCCCTAAAAATGGCAAGAATTTTACAAGATTCATCCCACTATAGATTTTAACCACATTCCTACCGGAACTTTTACCCCCTTCCTGCCCAGGCCAATTTTCAGCTTTCAGCGCTGTTGCACTTTGAATGACAACTGCACGGTCATGCAACACTGTACCCAAACTAAATGTTTATAATTTTTTTTGAGACAAATAGAGCTTTCTTTTGGTGGTATTTAAGCACCACTGGGGTTTTTATTTTTTGCTAAATTAACAAAAACAGAACAATAATTTTGAAAAAAAAGTTTTTCTCTTAGTTTCTGTTATAAAGTTTTGTAAATAAGTGATTTTTCTCCTTCACTGATGTGCACTGATGAGGCTGCACTGATGGGCACTGATGAGGAGGCACTGATGGGGCTGCACCAATATGTGACACTGACAAGCACTGATAGACGGCACTGATGGGCATTGATAGGCAGCACTGACAGCCAGCACTGATGGACACTGATAGCCAGTACAGAGGGGCACTGACAGACGGCACTGATACAAAACACTGATAATCACTGATGGGCACTGATACAAAGCACTGATACAAAGCACTGATAATCACTGATGGGCACTGATACAAAGCACTGGTGGGCACTGATGGGGCTACACACTGATCATCAAGGCACTGATGATCAGTGCCCTGATGATCAGTGTAGATGTCCCCTCTGAGAAATGCTGCTTACCGGCTCTCCTCTCCTCACATGCTGTCAGCGTGAGGAAAGGACTGCTGATGGCTGGCATCAGGGGCGGACTGAGAACTCATGGGGCCCCCGGGCAATATGGGATCATGGGGCCCCTGTGTCCTTGGCCAAACTCATAAAAACCTATGAAAAAGGTACCAGGGGCATCTCATGAGGCACCCTACTGACCCCGGGCCCTCGGGCAGTGCCCGAGTTTCCAAATGGTCAGTCCGCCCCTGGCTGGCATTTCCTATTTACACTGTGATCAGCTGTGATTAGCTGATCACATGGTAAAAGGCGGCTCTGATTGGCCCTTTACCTGGACACGTGATCAGCTGTGGTAGAAGGACACAGCAATCAGAGCTTGCACATGGTGCATGCCTCAGGGTGCATGTGGGGACTGTGATCCTGGGAGGACATCCATGGGACCCCCTCCCAGAACTAGCCGACAACGCTGTAGCCATCTTTTGGCTATAGCGCGGTTGAGAATTGTTTAATGGAATTTGCCTCATTTTTTGAGTTCACTAAATTTCAAACAATATTACCAAGCCCTAATAGAAACAACCTGGGCAGAATTACCCATCACTATAAAGCATCAAATACATTGTCCCAAAGCAGTTTAGTGTGTGGGCAGCTGTTCGTTCCTGCTGCAGAACCATGCAGCAGGGGGCAGTGTTATGTGCTCAGCTCCCCCCCCCCCTTTTGTGAAGTGTACAGAATGGCAGTGTACAGTGACATCACTTGCTGTGCAATGGCATGCAGAGCCATCCAGAGAGGTGCATTATTATGGTGTGAATATGACCCACAGAAAACTATTGTTTTTCTGTGTGTCATTGCAGTTACTTGTGTTTATCCATGAGGAAGAATGCAGGTAACTGCACATAGTGTGAGCAGGCCCTAATAGGTAAAAACAATTGACAGTTGTATATCTCTGTATCTGTACACTTTCTGTAATAATAAAAACAAAACAAATAGGAATATGGTTATTTATTAGTCCTGATATAGTAATACATAATACAGTAGAAAAGTAAAAGTATAAAATAAAGTGAATACGATATATAAGGAAAAATGTGACTTTACAAATGACAGACAAGATGGAAAAAAATGATAGATTATAGCTGATTTACCATGTTAGGTAAACCAAACACCTTCTGTCTAGAACATAACAACTCAATGTAGACCTACGGTATATTTAAACATTAGCAGTTATACTCAAAAATAACAGAGAAGCTGAAATACTTTCCTGCTTTGGAGAAATGCTGCTCTTGGCTTCTTTCAGTGCTGATCACATCTGAAGCCCTATACACAGTTATGTGATCTCAGTTGAGAGAGAGGATCAGAGTTTAGATTAGCTCATCACCTCTTGCAGCAAAGACTATGACAGGCAAGAATTTTAGCTCATCTGTTTTTTGCTATCTCAGCAAGTCTATAGTCCAGGCTCACTTTATATGTGACTGCTAATGGAAGGTAATCATTCTCTTATGTTCTAGTTTTCATAAGTCAGTCATACTGTATATTTGGATATGTATTATTAGAAGATTAGATATGGTACTCTAAGTGCTTAAAGTAAAATCATACAGAGCAGTGAGCTACTAATAACATTACTGTAAGTACTTTACAGATGGTAATTACAGAGACAAATAATGGTAATACCCAAAGAAGTAACAACATTTCAAATTATAGGTGGACACCAAACAACACATTGTATGCCATCCCAAAAAAGCTGGTACAGAGTGCATTTTAAAAATATTAGCAGCCAATTGTCACTAGCCTCTTAATAATATGTAGCCTATCAGAAGATAACTCTCATAAAACAAGGACAGAGTTCCAGTACCGGAACATAGCTCACCTATATATAGCGCATGTTGCGCTCTTGCAAACCTTGATTTGAGTATTAATTAAATATTTCTAAAGTTGCTCTTTTAAGAACTCCAGGCAAATATATACATAACATGCTTTAGTCTGTAGACAGAATGTGGAGTAGTAATGTGAAGTAGAAATATTTTGCCAGATAAAATGGGTAGAATCATTGCTTAACATGCATTTTAACTAGGTTTATGTTTGCCTAGAGTTGCTCTTTACACACACATATTATTTATATATAATTGCACATTAAAATATGCAACTAACTGGAGTTGATTTTTAAGACAAATATACGGTTCACATTGCAAGTGAAGTTGCTCTCTGCATGGGAATTATCCTCAGAACTTACTGAAAGAGGTGAAGCTTCGCTTTGCAAAAAATTCCCGATCACAGGAAAATAGAAAAAAAAAAAACAGAATGGATGATGGAAGTCAGCACAACTTGACCTCAACCACTAAGCTCAGGGGACAATTGCCTTGCAAAGTGAACAGTCTAGTAAATCAATCCAAATGTATGCATCATTCTGTTGTAAAAGCCATACACATACTGATTTCTATTACCAATGTCTTCATTACAGTAAGCAAACTGATATTTTCACAACTTTTCTTATATTGGGGCAAGCACTCATAAGTCCCATTCTCCAGAGTACTGAGAAATCTCAGCAAATAACTTACATTAAAAACATCCTTTATTATACATATATTGAAAAAGTCTGGAGAAAATGTAGGTTTAAAGGAGTGTCTTTCTTTTCTGTGACTGGCAGGGTCCACGTTATGTCATAGATGTACAATTTGATGGTATATAATCAGCCTTGTTTTTTATTAAGCAATTATTTATGTGTCTACTGTATTTGTATTTCATTTTTATTCCTGCAGATATCTAAGGGTACACAAAAGTCCTATTTGTGTTGTTGGTTACGGAACAGAGAACAACTCTTTCATTCCATAATTCAAATGATGCAACAGAATGTTCTTGGCTTTATTACTAATTGGAAACAAATGTTTTCTGTACATTACACTATTTTTATTCTAAAATAAATTTTGTATTAAAAATAGAAAGTTGTAAATCTTTATCGAGGAAAGTCAATAATTCTTCTCCAGCCTTTATACATTATAACCCCAGCCGTAGTTAGTTACACAAGAAAAGCTATATATTGACGCTTTCTATATTTGATCTTCTATTGTTGGGTTTTAGGTCCTCAATTTAGATGATCCATTTTTCTGAAAGAGAAAAGACAGCTTGTAAGTCTACATGCAAATAAGAACACAAACTAGACTCTTGGAGCACATCAGTCTTACAACGGACAGCTGGATAAATAATCTGATCTGTTTAATAAAAGAAAGCTTGTATACCAAATCGGCAGAGCTAATCTGATTTGTAAAATGCCTGCTGTTGGATTTACCATGTGTTCTGCAGTTCACAGCTGGCAGAGATGTCTTTTTCATGCCATTCATTTATTTTTTTTGCTGCGCACATGTATTTCATAACAAAGCGCTACTCCAAATTATTGCAACCAATCATTGATCACCTTGTATCTGTTTAGTGCAAAGCCTGCTGAAAGTCGATCTGAAGAATGGTTGCTCAATGTTAGTCCTGCCATTGCTTAATCCAGTCAAATCCATAATCTACAACTTGTTCATTTAATACAATATGCAAATAGACAGATACATGAAATAATTTACACGTACTTAGTCTCATTGAATAGTCTAGCCATCTGAGACAATGGGGTGATTTACTAAAGGCAAGTACGCTGGTCACTTTGCAAGGGAAGTTGCACTTTGCAATGTGAATTTGTCCCAGAGCTTAGTGAATGTGGGCAAGTTTCACTTTTCAAAGAATACCCCTTCACGTTCTTGGAAAATAAAGTTTTTACTTGCGCATGATTGGATGATGGAAGTCAGAAGAACATCACCCCATTCATTAAGCCTTGACACCAAATTCCATTGTGTAACTTCCCATGCAAAATGAACAGTATTTTTGCCTTTACTAAATAATCTGCAGTCTTTCCAATGATAGCTGTGAAATCATTGCTAGCACAGCAGCCCATTTGGTTCCTACAAGGCCAGTAGTCAAGGAAAAAAGTCTGCTTCAAGGTTCCTTGCTTTGCTCCTTGTACTAATATTTCTCTGGCCCATTGGTCCAGCCCAGCCAGGCAGTACAGCTAGTACAGAGTGTTCTGCTCAAGGCATAGTATGATTTACACAAATTAAAAGCACATACTGGCTCTGCACAGGATTTAGTTGCACATAATGTAAATAAAAAGTAAGTAGGAAGGTGTACACAGAAGGGTAATTCAATGGAAATGAAGGAGAGCTGGCTTTCAAAAAGTATGTTTTGATGCACTTGTATCACCACCCATCAGTATCAGTAAGAGATCTGCTTTCTATGACCAGATGTACAAAACACAGACACTGGAAAATAGTGTGCAAACATATAAAAAAAATCAACCATATACTGTAAATGATGGGGATTATGTTCTTTTTTTATTTATTTTTATACCACTATGGGATAGCTAAAGAGAAAGCACAGCCTCATATGTCCATCTAAAGCATTATGTCTCCCATTAAACAACAGATAACATTGAGTCATTGTTATGACCCATTCACTTGTGCAAAGATTTTTAGTATGAGCTACTGATCTCTGCAACATCCCCTTTTTCACAACAAAGGTAAGGAGCTTAGATTGTTGTATTTGGCTTTTGCATTTTACAGCTTACCTCTAACAGAAAAATAGCATGGCTCACAGTGAATCGTTTGCCTATAGATCCACATGCTGTCACCAGCCCTTAGATTCCCCAAGGAACCAGAACATGCTTCACACTGAAATACAAGAGAAATGTTCATTTAGCTGATGTAAAGATTCTAAGACCATGTAATGAATGAACATGCTTTGTCTGCAAAGATAGAAATAGAAATGTTTCCCCTACACTGACACATAAGCTAATATCTATATGTCAGCTATGTTTCTGAGACTCACCAGAGTTAATCGTATGATATACTTGTTGAATTGAAAGATGCAATGAATATTTGTTTCTGAGAGTGATTCCAATGTCCAGCAGACAGATTATAAACATCTAGGGTGTTATTAGGCAGAGAACCAGGAAAGGACTGGGTCATTTATGGCCAACCTTGCTCATAGCATTCAGATTAGAGCAGTGATTCCTTACCTGCTGGTAGATTCTACACAGAAAAATGCACTGTACCATGGATGGATGAAAATGTGGGCTGAGGGACAAAAGTAAGCATAAACTTAAATTTGGTTTGTTGCCACCTGAGCCTATTGGGATTACATTCCATGGTGCATTAGTGAAACTCTTAAATATTTGCACTTGGAAAAAAAAATACTCATGTGTATGTGTTTGAAGAAACACAAACGTACACCATAGTGAAGTATCTAATGGAGTAGAACTGGAGCTAGAAATAAAACTGTATCTTGGTTGCTCATTATAGAAACATAAAAAAGTGAAGGCAGAAAAAGACAGAGTGGTCCATCCGTTTTTGTTTTATTCTTGTTTTGCTTTTATTTGGGGGGGGGGGGGTTTCTGTTTGTTTGGTTGCTTTTGTTTTTTTTTTGGTTTTTGTTTTTTTTTTTTTGTTAACTTTTTTGTCTGAGTATAGATCAACACTTGATGTTTGAAGCTATTTACTGTTGACTGGCTCACTGCCTCTTCTGGAAGTTTATTCCAAGCATCAACTACTCGTTCAGTGAAATAGTATTTTCTGAGATTAGTTTTGAACTTTCCTCCAGTTAGTTTGATGTCATGTCCCATGTGTTCTTGTATTTGGTTTTATGTTGAATATACTGCCCTCCTGAACCTTGTTCACCCCCTTGATGTACTTTATACTCTCAATCATGTCTCCTCTTTCCCTTCTTTCCTCCAGACTGTACATGTTAAGTTCCCAAAGTCGCTCTTAATACGTTTTAGCCCCCAGATCTTTCACCATTTTTGTTACCCGTCATTAATCATACTTATAGTGCAGCTCTAGGCAAAACATTTTTTTTTTGTTTTGGACAAAGTGTGGAAGGGTTAATACTGGCTTCAAGTATTTTTCTGCAAGCATTGTAGATTTTTCCAATTTCCTGTGTGGTCATTGAGACAGGAAGAACAGAAATCTCCCAATTAGGGTCAAAAACAGGAATAAAACATTTTGTAAAAATAGAATGGGGAAGTTGATAACCTTTGTCTGGTTTTTGTTGCTATCTGTGTCTTGGATGGAGAGATTTCCAAACTTCCTGTTTCGTTACCATAGCAGAAGTGATGTGAAATTTCCTTGAGAGGGATACAGGTATCAATTAAACCTAACACTAACCATAGTCCAACTGCCTTCTAGGCTATAAGGTGAATGTTATACAGCAACTTCAGCTAAAGTGTTCGGTTCAGACAAATCCAGCAAAGCTATGTATGAGGAAGATATGATTTTAGCGATAATCCTTAACAATTATAATAATTAACGACTGAATATTCACACTCCTTTATAAGTCCAATTATGATTGGTTATCTTTACCTTGAAGCAAGTTGCATGGCAGCATATGTTTAAATCTTTAAGGATCATCTTGGCATCAATGCCAAGTGGCTTCCGACAGTAAGTACACATGTCCTTTTCAATAACAGATCTATTTAATATAAAATGGTAATTAGTTCATACATTATTAAACATATAAACTAATGTACTGTTTTTATCATGTCCTTTAAAAACGAATGCAATAGTAGAAAAACTGCACCCACAAATGCCATGTAATGCTAGATTTCATTTCCTCTATACCAGGGGCGGACTGACAACTCATGGGGCCCTGGGCAATAAGAGATCATGGGGCACGTGTCCTCGCTCACACTCAAACCACACCCAAAAAAGCCTATGAAAAGTACCAGGGGCATTTCATGGGGCCCCCTACTGACCCCGGGCCTTTGGGCAGTGCCCGAGTGTTCAAATGGTCAGTCCGCCCCTGCTCTATACTCAAACTATATTATTTAGGTATATACATATAAAGCACATTTACTCATAACAGCTATATTGACACTATTTTCTGTTACCATGTGACAGAGGACAAAAGCTATTTGCTTGCATGCTACAACTGTATAATGCATTTCAAACATAGACTAGTATTAGAGAACTACTGTTTATACTCTTTGTTTCTCCTAATATGAACATTAATATAGGCTAATATCCACTTCAGGACCTTTCTAGGACATACAGTATCTCCTATGTAGGCTTCTCTCTCCCTGTCTCTGCTGCTGCTATTACCAACAATTACCTGCTGTCAAAATGACAGCAAGGAATTGCTAAGTGTTATATAGTGGGGGCAGCTGTACAATTGCAGCCACTCCTTTGTAAACTTACACTTGTTAATAGTTTGTCATTGAGTAATACAGTATTACAACGTGTTACATTTTCTTATTCCTCTTCATGATTTTTCATATGCAGATAAAAGATGTGAGTTTTGATCTGCATGTGGCATAAGTTAAAGAAAAAATCTTAGAAGTAAAAAAAAGTTTTTATTAAATAAAATGTTCCTATTTAACCCATTATTAGCCCTTAGTTAACTACTACCCCCCCCCCCCCCCCCCCCCCCCCCCTTTCACCCCTCACCCCTTTCTCATTGTTCTCCCATTAGCTTTTGTTTTTATGGAGATTTTTATTTTTTTTTTTTTTTTACTGTTTTTTTTTTTTTCGAAAAAAATGCACAAAATTGAGAAAAAAATAATTTACACTTACAAAACCTTTGCCATGTTTTCTACCAGAAAAATAATTTTAGTGTTAGTGTAAACAGTACAAATTATAGATTAAAATAGTTTTTACTACGGTAAAGCTATTTGAAAAAAAAAAAGCAAAACCAATGTTTTAATGCTTTCATGTCTTTTGGGGTATAGATTACACAGCAAATAAAATAATTTTTGCAGGATCATGTTACCAAAAGAAAGCTTTGCCCTTACCGATCAGCAGTGGAATAGACAGTTTTAATTGAATTTGAGATAATGGATTGTCCATATGTACTAGGTGATGATTTCCTGTTAAAATAAATAAATATACTGCATAAAAAAATATGTCAGTGGCAATTATTATTAACAAGGTAATAAAAATAATGAATTGCAACAACCTATTGCTACCAATTATAAAATATCTATAGTTATCCTTACTACACCAAGGGATCCATATACTAAATTGTGACTTGAGCTTAACTGAAGTAAACGTGTGTATTCCAACATCTGATCATACAAGTTTACTTCAGAGATTAGTAAATCAGACCCATAACTGTTAGAAACTAATGTCTAGATTGTTGTTATGAGTACGTGCACACCATTGATCTTTTTACTTTTAGATGTTTTCAGTTGATGCTACATATGATGTATGTTGCACTATACATGTAGTAGTTACCAGCCAAATTAAAATATTATATGCACGTAAAATGGAATTCTAGCTTATACCCATATAGCCTTAAAACTGTCCCCACTACTCTTCTAACACCTATGCTAACTAACCTATGTAAGAAAAATGTATTCACTTAATGATTATAGGTTTGTTCATGTGATCTCCCCTGTGACAGCCAGTGGCAGCTGCAGGGGAGAGGAGAGAGTGCTCCTGACAATGGCTAGGAGCTAGGATAATGAGGTCAGACCAGAATGGCCTGAAAATAGGTAAGTATATACATGTTTCTTACACAGGTTACTTAGAATAGGTGTTAATACAGGACAGGGGACATGTTTAAGACTAGTTAGCTGTAAGCTGGAATTGTACTTTAAACTAGATATAAATGTCATATATAAGTTTTTGTTCACATTAGCTGAACATTCTGTTCCAAAAAACAACATCTATGACCACAGAGAGAAAAAGAGAAAATTCTCTTTGTATTACCTTTGGTTGTTTGGACCTCTAGGTCCAGACTCTTGCCTTGAAAAACAGTAACACAGCTGACAAAGTAAGGTTGTCAGGGACACACAAACCTACAGACATTAATTTACTATAGGAGTAGAGCATAAGCAGACAAGGGCGCACTCTCATTGTGCATTACCATGGTACACCACGTATTTATTGTGTAGACAAATGGATATATACTCACAAACCAATGGAAATTAAAAGCAGAATAAGTAGTCCGCAATAGCAGTCAATGAAATAATGTGCCCTCAATCGGGATAAGCTGACACGTTTCGGGAGATGAACCCCCTTCCTCAGAGCTAGCTTATCCCGATTAAGGGCACATTATTGCATTGACTGTTATTGCGGATTACTTATTCTGCTTTTAAATTCCATTGTTTTGTGAGTATATATCCATTTTTCTACACAATATATACGTGGTGTACCACGGTAATGCACGATGAGAGTGCGCCCTTGTCTGCTTTTGTTCACCAGTGTCCAGATTTCCAGATCTTTGAAGGGCAGCACCTCTTCGTTTGGCATTCTGAAATTTCCTTTGGTCTGCATGAGGATTTGAGCACTGGTTTCGTTTCTTTGTCAAAGGAGTAGAGCATGTTCACTTTGTAAAGTGAATTTTCATTTTGTAAAGGAATTTTCATTTGGCTTAGTGAACATGGTGAAACTGTGCTGATGTCAATCATACAATTATGTACAAGCAGAATTCCTGTTTTTTTTCCTAGCATGCGATTGGGTAACTCTTTGCACTGTTGATTTTTACCATATTCATTCAGCTAAGTGAAAATTCCCTTTTAACGATAAAATTCCCTTGCAAAGTGAATATATCAAGTGAATTGTGTCCTAGATGGCTATTGGCTCTTACATAGAAAATATAAATCAAATAAGAACATTTGATAGCCAAACTGATTGATCCTCCACAGGAAAAAAAACATACCTACCCTTTCAATTTTTCAAATGTTATTTATAGAAAATATATTCACATGGGGTCTCATTATTGTATACTCCTACCATAGACTTTCCAGAAGTCAGCTTGATATAAACTGAAGTGCACAAAAAAATTGCACCATTGGGGCGCATGCACACAGCTTCCAAGAATGCCACTTAACCCTTGAGCGTCACACCTGGCCAAGGAAATAAAGGCCCTTTGTGGTGATGGCGGACCTGCTCCCCAGCATACCAGGAATGCACCTGGCATTGACCGATGGCCAGAGGAACCGAGCGCCAGGACCATTCCCATCCCCTGCCAACCAAGTGCTCCTTGACAGACAAGAGTAAGATGGCGCCTACCTCCATTAAGTCAGCATCTCAGAGTGGTGGAGCTTCAGGGGGTTCAAGACATGCTGATCTGAGCACAAAACATCCTGTATCTCATTCTCCTGTGAGTAAAACCTCTCCATCACAGTAGTCCCCAGCATCTAGTAAGTCACTGTCATAGCGGACTCTGGACAATCTAATGTCCTCACACCCTTTGCAGTCTCTGGCTAGTTTAAATGGCTCTAAACCAATGGCCAGTCTGCTCCCCGCTAAGGACACTGACCACAGAACTCTGTTTGCTAAATTTTCAGATCTGCTCTAAGCAAGCCAGAACAGCAAAAACAGATTACTATGTCAATTAAGGCTGATTTGCAGGAACTGGGCATCAGGATCCATGCTATTGAGCGCATGCTAGAGGCTACAGTCTCCCAGACTAATCAGAATACAGGCTGCATTGAAAGCTTACAACAACTGGATAAGGCCCTAGCTAAGATAACTTGGAAAACCGATCCCGAAGATATAACTTTCATATCTGCACTTAGTCTCAGAATTATTACCTGAACTACCTGACCATCACCTTGTCTTGGACAGGGTCAACTGTGCATTGCAATCTGATGGCCCACCTCAAGATATCATTGTCAAGCCTCATTATTATAAAACCAAGCAGCTGGTCATGCAGAAGTCTAGGGAAACATCCTCCCTCTCCCTCCTTGGCCATGACATACAAGTTTTTGGGGGCATCTCCCCCTTCATGGCCCAAAAGAGCAGGGCCTTGAAGCCTTTGCTGCAGGTGCTGACACGCAAAGCTATCAAATATAAATGGGAATTCTCTTTCCATTTATACTTCACATATGCCAATTGCCAACATTCCTTTTCCACTTTCAGGAAGGGCGAGGAACTGTTACTGCGTCTTGGCCTGATCTCACAAGATGGTTCATCCCCGAGAGCCTTCATTCCTATGACCTCGGGCCCTCCTGAAGGCTCTACCCACCCTCTATATCCGCTATGGCACCAAGTTTCATCTGGGCGCTGGGCCTAGGTCTCTTTGAAAAATCTGAGATGTCCCCATATGGGGAAAGCGGGTTTTAACTCTCTTCACTTTCCACCTTAACTGCTGGGAATTGGGGGTCCATGAGGACCATGAATGAGTCTGGAACTTTAGTTTCTTAATTGTTTATTGCACTTTTACTGCATCCTTTTTCAGCTTGTTATTGTCTCCTTGCTACCGCCTGGGGGATGTTTTGAGGGGCTCCCTGCCTGGGTGCCTTTGGGCCTCACCTGGACAGGGATTCCCAATGCTACTGTTCCTTTTTTAGTTTTTGATAAACGTAATATTACTATTTTTATATGTTTACTGAGGTTCTGTAATTACAGTATTATGTGGTTCTGGCCTGGACAGGTTGTCATACACCCTCAATTGTGCCAGCATCTTGCTTATGCAGGCTTTTGGCCCAATTCTCGCATGACTGGGTCGTGGTCCAAACCTTTTTGCCCTAACCTGGGGGCAGGTTCCCACCCTCTGGTTGCAGTTTGTGTATACATATCTTGTATTTTTTTCTCTCTTTTCCCACCAATTCTTTTCTTTTCTTTCTTTGGAGACTTAGGAACAAGTTTGCTGCCTCTTATCCATGTAAGCGTGTACTGGAAATGGTAAAGATGCGTTCTTATTGGGAGAAAGTAAGTGCTATTATATGCCATGGAGACTTTGTTTTGGAACTATGAGTATGCCCCTTGTCTCTTCGACCCCCTGTAGGGTGATCTCCTACAACACACAGGGTCTTAACTACCCCATTAAGCGCCGTAAGGCATTCCAGCATTACCACGCATGTCAGGTGGATATTCTCCTGCTACAGGAAACACATTTTTCCTATTCCTACAGACCCTCCTTTTTACACAAACATTATCCAGTGTTAGCAAACGCTCCTGACAAAACCAAAGGAGTTGCTATCTGTTTCGCCAAATGTATTAGGGATCCAGGTGGGAGGTTTCTTCTGGTGAAGGGTCTGGCAGGCAAACAGTTCTGCACCTTCATTTATTATTATGCCCCAAATAGTGGCCAAGTCACACTCTTCACTAAGTTAATGCAAGCTCTGGCTCCCTACCTGGAGGAACAAATTTTATGCAGGGGAGACACTAACTTAGCCCTTGACCTGAGTTTGGATAAGCTTAATCCCAAGCACTCTGTTCTTAAAAGGGCTCCTAAAGCAGGCTAAAGTGGCTAAAGTAATCCATGATCTTAATTTAGTAGATATATGGCGGGAGATAATCCTTCAGTTTGAGATTATACCTTTTATTCGGCCCCTCACTCCACCTATTCACACATAGATCATATCTTTGTCTCATTTACCCTGGTACCCGTATTGCTAAAGCCACTATTAGAGAGGTAGCATGGTTCGACCATTCCCTGGTGTCTGCTTCCCTAATAACTCTGTCCGTACCTGCTTGGGCAACACAATGTTGCTTAAATGATTCCCTTTTATCAAATCCCTGTTGGTGCGAAGATATCTGTTTTAACTTGTTTGCTGGGCCTCATTTTTACATGCACAAGGATAGCATTGGCTCCCTTTTAGCTCATAAAATTAATCTTAAAATATGTACAAACGCAGTCCCTAGGCTTCATTGCTCTGATGGTTCTTACTCTCAAAATCCCCATAAGGTATCAGAAGTCTTTTGGAAATATTATTCCTCTTTGTTTAAAGCTCCAGTGGGGGAAGACCTTCAATCCTGTGCTCAATACTTGACAGGCATCCAATTACCTAGAACATAAGAAACGTATGGAAGCACCCTTTACTGTACCTGAAATATTGGCAGTGGTTAAAGCTATGAAATCGGGTTCTGCCCTGGGCCCCGATGGTTTCCTGGCCCTATATTATCGCCAGTTTCAAGACCTATTGGTCCCCCACATGGCCAGGTTCTTCAATGCTCTACGGGATGGCACCCCCCTGGATCCTTCTTCACTCTTAGCATATATTTCAAATGTGCTAAGCCTACTAAAGACAATTATCACCCAATATCTCTGATTGGTAATGATCTAAAATTATTTACGAAAGTGTTGGCCAACAGATTATTTTACTTCATTCAGAGTCATTTAGAGTCATGTGCACAAGGACTAGGTGGGCTTTATCATTGGCAGATAAGGCCGGATCATATAAGGAAGGCGATTACTATCCTCTCACATTTACAATTGGGATTTACAGAAGGCTTTTGACTCAGTGTTCTGAACATATATGTTTCAAGCATTGAAAGCCTGGGGCTTTGGGCCTCACTTCCTCCAGATCATGGGAACTTTGTACTCACACCCAAAAGCTAAGGTCAAGTTTGCAGGTTACCACTCTGACCCCATAGAGATTGCAAGGGGCACTCATCAAGGGTGCCCCCTGTCTCCTCTTATCTTCGCATTTGCGATTGGAACAGTGATTATAGCTATTTGTGACAATCAAGATATTAAAGGGGTCATCTGTGGACCTACAGAACATAAATGCACATGATTTGAAGTTGATGTCCTCCTTTTTATCACCTCCCCTCTTACCTCCCTTCCTAATGTTATGAAGACGCTAGCGGCCAAGATCACCATTTCAGGGTCGTGGAAGAAACCCTCTGTATCCATCAACCATTTGAAACATAAGATATCCGGGATCATGATCCATGAAAAGGTGGCTAGTGTGATTAATGATAAACAAGCAATGTTTGAAGAAACCTGGGAACCGTGTGCAACCTATATGAAGGTAGCCTTACATTTCTCACAAAGTTGACTATGTGGTACCTTCACTACTTGAGAATCCCAAGTCTCCTCCTTCCCTACTCCTTTCTTTTCTCTCTTGATCTTTTTTTTCTTTTGTTTCTTCCTTTTTTTCATTTTTTATGCATGAATCCCATCATCAGCCTTTTATATAAATAAGGTACTTTATCATGAGTGATGCATTACAATGCATGCTGGGAGACAATCCCTTAAGCACATATTCTGGGTTTTGCCCTTGGTAACCCCTTGTACATTCCCACCACCTGACTGTTGATTGGTGTGTTTATGGTTTTTCATACAATGTGTCTTAAAGATGGGGGTAATTGTAACATTATCTTCCTGTTACTCTTTTGTATTTGGCATTGTAACTACCGTATTATATGGCTGACTGTATGTTGTCTTCTCTACATCCCTGATATTTTGTAAAACTGAATTGGCATTTTTGAAAGAAAAAAAAAAAACACCAAATGATATTTGTGCCACAGAAAAATCAGGAATTTTTAGCATTTTGTTGAAAAACATATGGAGATCAATTAATACACAAAACATATCTGTTTTACTTTGTTGAATTACCATGAATCTTGTGTGTAGCTAACATTGGATCGAGTGCTTGGCCCATCTGTAATGTCTTTATAAGTTGTTGTTGTTGTAGAACGGTGGGATGGAGCTTCACTGTTGTCATCTGAACGTTTGTAAGTAGTTGTGGAAGTCGAAACTCTGCTCGGGTAATCTTGGGAGTCATTGGTAACATTGTAAGTTCTGCTTGTGGTTGAACGTCTGCTTGGTGCATCAGAGGTGTCGCTTGTAACATTGTATGTGGTGGTTGTAGTTGAACTACGGTTTGTAGTATTACTGCTATTAGCAGGATATGTGGTTGTCCTAAAAAGATTAAATTATGAATTTTATATTCATCATATAGTATATGACAGAATCTTAATAGCGCACTGACTAGAAACAGTTACTAAAAACTGCTAAAATACTGCAAACAGAAGCAAACAAATATTATACTCAAGAGCTACAGCTGTGTTCAATAAGTCCCAAATCAAATCATTAAATATGCTTTTTTTGTTTTGACTTAACCCACCTGTGCTGTAAAATAGTTGTTTCAGCTATTCTTTTTTAATTAGGACTTCTCGGTCTTACCTTTCGCATTCTAGCATCAAGCATACAGTACTTAGCTTGATGTTGTTAGTATAGTGGTTGCAGGGCCGGTTCTTCCAGTAGGCAAACTAGGCAGTCATCTAGGGTGCACTGCCACCTAAGGGTGCCTGAGCGCAGCACAGCACTCTCTCTGTGTGGGATGCCACCACATCATGAATGATCTTTCAGCAAAGGGGAGGGGAGGCAGAGGGGAGGATGAACGGACATAGGAACATGCCAGTGTCTGGGGCCAGTGTAGCAGTTGGTCTGCCGCTCTGTCCAGTGATCCTCTTCAGACTCAGTACCTTACTGCAAGCTGGCTGGTGGCTGCTGTTCACTGTGGAGTTCCCTTCTTTTCCCAGTCATCAGCAGATGTGGAGCTGACCTGGTAATGGTCAGGTCTGTTCAGGTAATGTCTGACTCTGATGTCTCGTGTCTATGTGAGTGTGACCCGGCCAGCCAACCATCACATGTGCAATGTGTCAGTGAGTGATGACATCATCACGATCCCACAGCCTGTTGTTCTAGTGCCTGCTGATCTGTGTCAGTAGTGCTGTGTTGTGTCGGATCTGTCACTGTGTGGGATCGCTCAGCTCAGGTGTTCTCTCTATGTGTGTGGGCTGGGCTGCCTGCTGTTATAGAATATTATCTCCCGCATTGCCTGGGGTATTTCAGCCTGGGATCTGTCAGTGTGGATCCATCATCCTCCACTTATTACAACTGTGACCTCTGCCACTGACAGCCACAGATACAGTCTGTCCATGACACTGATTTTGTCTTTAATATCTGTGCTGGTGGCATCCTATGGCACTTATTTTTGCAAATTAAAAGAAATTTAGCAGTTTCATGTTTTGTTGATTTAATATTTTCCACTGTGTTTTTTTTTTTTTGGGGGGGGGGGGCGCAAGTAGCTGGTCTTGACTAGGGTGCAAAATAGTCTAGCACTGGCCCTGAGTGGTTGACATAACCACTGCATTAGAAAGGTAAAGTGCTCTTGAGCTCAGCCTTCCAAGCTATCTTTTGGCTCTGTTGTTCAACCTCCAGAACCAGGGGATGACAGAAAAGATTATGCCAGAAAGAAGTTCTGCCTGTAAAACCAACTAACATGATCAGGTAGCAACAATAGTAACCGCTACACCACTATTAATGTATGCAATAGGTTGTTTAGCAATGAAGGATAGTAATTGCAGAACTCAGTAAATTTTTCACCAAAAGCAAAGGAAATGTAAAGAAGCACCACACATGGGCACATGGAGTTTTGGAATAAATGCACTACCTGTTTATAAGCATATATATATCACAATACATCCCTAATAAAGGGATCCCTGATTGCCCTTGCATTTACCATAATAACCCATTCCATTTTGTTTGGAATCTCATTTCATCCATTAAATTATCTTAATTTCAACATGTTTTGGCAAGCGTTTTGCTTTTCATTAACATAAGTGACAGGGCAGCTTCTGTAAAAGTGAAGTCTCCCACTTGGCAATCTGTATCCAATGGGGCAACCTCTCATATGTATGTAATGGCTGGTTGAACCAAACCATAAAATTCCATAAAACACACAATGGAAATAGATTGGACAACTCTGTTCTAGAAGACTGATTTTTAAACATTCACATATGAGTTGCACCTCCCTTTATTGTATTAGTCCTTGCCTAGTCCCTGACCAGGATTGACGTTTATAAGCAACAATTTTCAGTGTTTGGCAGATAAACAACCATATCAGCAAAGATAATTTCTAAAAAAAAAAAATTACAGGTTCCCAAGACAAACCTTTTTAAATTAAATTGGAGTCAAATTGAAACTGAATCCCAGCTTCAGCTCCTTTCTACACAAAACCAGTTTCTCCCTGACAGATAACTAAGACTTGTGGATTTATATCACCTTCTGCAGAAATATGGTATCCTGGCTCATCTAGTAAGATATATTAAAACTTCTTTGTGTGATGCCTTCCGCCTTTCTATAATACAATAACAGAGGGAAGTGTGTATTCCTGTTGCCAGGTGGATGATAGACCCTCATTGTCACTGCCTAAGGCTGGATTTATACTGTTCGGTGTGCATGCAGCACACATGGTAATATACACACTTAGCTAGTATACACACTTAGGGCCCCTATAGATTCCCATTCACAGCAAACTGCAGCTCGTATATGTGAACAAAACCTATAGGAATGAAAGGGATTTCTACTTGAAATGCATTTCCATATGGCATAATGGATGTGTTTTGCTACAATAAAACCAATGAATATAAATAAAGCCTAAGAAAACAACAAATTAAAGAGAACAAGTTAGAAATGGTCATTTGTATATCCACTCCTAAAGCAAAATTATGAGCAAACTCCTTTTTCATTTCGGATAGAGTAAGGGAGGGTTATAACCCCTGCCAGTTTTTTTTTGCCATCTGTGTCCAAGATGGGAGATTTACCTTCACTTCCGGTCCCATAGCCAAAACAGGAAGTGAGAGGAAGTCACTGCAAATTAAGGGAACCTCACCAGGTCACCAGAACTAGTGTCCCCATTAGAAGATTTCCCTTCTATTTCTGTTCTGGGGACAACCCAAAATTTGGGATTTTCTCTTACTTCCACTTTAAATGATAATGGTAAACAAGAAAAATGGAGAGGGTGAAACTCCCTAATGGGGGCAGAAGTATCAATAAAAACCTGACAGGTGTTCAAATCCATGTCCACTCAAAGCAAACATGTCAGGCCAGTATCAGGCTGTAACACCCTCAAGTTAAGCTGGCCATACCATGTATTGTTTTTTTTTTGATCAGTAGGCTGATTAAAAAAAAAAAAAGAACAAATGGATTCCCCTATTCACACAATTGAGGGGAATCCTCTCTGCTGCTCTATTGTATTCTGACAGCGGGGACTCCCGCTCTTAGAATATACTGATCAGCACTACAGCTAATTGGCTGTAGCGCTGATCATACAAATGTTTTCCAACAGTCCCGTTCAAGAGAAATCAATCATTAGACTGACTCCTCTTGCATGGGAATGAACATAGATGAATCGAAATTCTGCTGGTCCCTGCTGAACCAACCAATCCATCTATGGCTATCTTTAAGCTTTTACCTGTGTGAGCTGAGGGCTGATAAATCACACATTTTCTTCTAAAGGAGGTCAATACGGTTAGGCCAGTTGCACACAGGTGTAATTACTTACTGATGTTTATACTCAGGATCTTATTGACAGAAAGATCGTGAGTAAAATGTTCTGTAAAGACCTTGCCTAAACATGCGTATAGGTGTGTAAAGGTGCACAAGCATATTATTATTATTATACAGTATTTATAAAGCGCCAATAGTTCGCTCAGCGCTGTACATTACAAAGGGGGACAGAACATGTGACAGAACAATACCAATACAATGCAAAATATGAGGGGATCGAGGGCCCTGCTCCTTGGAGCTTACAATCTAGGAGGGAGGGGATGGTGGTACAGGAGGAGATAGCTGTGGGGGATGGAGTGGTAGGAAGAGTGGAGGAGGTCGGCAGGTTAGCAGGTGGTGGGGTATATATAGACGAGTAAAATTCTTCTTCATTGCCAGTGTTGTAACATACTAATTTATACTTGTATAAATAGATGCTTATAGATGCGTAAACATATGTATGTGTGTAAATTGCTGCTCTCAAATGTAAAATATTTGTTTTTAAGGCTCTGTACTCATCACTGTATATCTTTACTCAGCTGATCAGGAAGAAAGCTTTTTCCCTGCAGGAGCAAATTGGATCATGCTTTGCTGGGTTTTTTTTGCCTTCCTCTGGATCAACTGTGCAAATAGGATTATATTTTTTTTTTTTTATGGTTGAACTGGATGGAAGTTTGTCTTTTTTCAGCCAGATTATGTGTGCATTGTTCCATAGACAACAATGCATCTAATTTAAAATCAGTAAAAAAATATGGCGTTTTTACTGTGTGCAAGAGGTCTTAATCAATATAAATTATATATATATATATTTACTATTATTAATAATATGGCAAGTTTTTGTTTGTCTATTATCAGCTCTGACAGGGAGAGAATACAAGTAAATTTAAAAAATTTACTTGATAATTGTAACAGTTCAAGAATGAAATTACAGGTTGTTACAAATGCCTGTTGCTCTGTTAAAACATAATCATAAGACTTTAATACACTGTATCTGCTAAGGCTTTTGAAAAAACATTAACCTACCTATCCTTTTGAACATATAGTCAGTGATCAATTGTAATTCATTATTTTGCCAGTGTTGCAGGCTTTTACAATAAAAATGATCCTCTAACATAGCCATTCTCTAATAGCAAATGACAAAGCAGATTCGTTGTGTCTGAATGGCGCTATTTGTGTACTATAACAGAACAATGCATTCACAGTCTAAATTTAGAATCTGTTGCACTAACCCAGCTGAAATTAGTGGGAATTGCTTATCCTTCACTTGTTTTCAGATGGCTGTTAATTATTTCCATGTTCTCTAAAAAGCATTTGTTATCACATTTACATCACATACAAATTAAAACCATCCATTAGGAAATGAATTCAGTACAATTATTGCTTTTCTTCACATATGAACATGGCTTGATCATGATAAGCACCCTTATTCAATAAAAGAGTACTAATTAAAATGTACATGTGTATACAGAAATATGTTGACTATGGAAATGGTAGTTGACTGGCTTTGACTCTCTAGCTTTAATAGTATGAGCCACTGACCCAGAACAAATATGCCAATCAGGAAAGTCAAAAAACTGGCCATAGATGGATCAAAATATGGTTGGCCATCTCTGGCTGTTTGAAAAATGTTGGTTTGAACAGCACATGCAATGCAACCAATTGGTTGCAGCACTGATCAGTGTATTCTGATGGGGAGGAGTCCCGCTGTTGGAATACATTGACACAGAGGGGATGATTCCTGCATTCACCTTGAATGTGTGGATGGGGGATTTGGCTCAGTTTTTTTCATTCAGCCCGCTGGCTGAATGAAAATAGCTGAGCCATATACCTGTATGGCAGCTTTAGGAATGTCAAGAGTCTTTTGTGTCTCATTGCCTTAATAAATTAAAGTATTGCAGCAGCTAGAGGGTCAGTCAGGCAAATGACTTTTTAAAAAAACATAGCAATGGCAGCCTCCATATATTCTTTTTTAAGTGCATTAAATCAGAACTAACTCTTCTAAGAATAATCTCTTAAAATCACATCTGTCTCATAGCATATTTTTTTTAAATCATGTACACATGCCACTCTCTCCATTTTTCATCTTACATATTGCACACCTCTGCCTGCCCTTCATCGGGCTTTGTCAGCCTTAAGAAGAGTCCAGTACTTCTGAGAATAGTGGAAACATGCTCACACCACACTGTTGCCCACAATGCAGTGCTGCTTGGAAACTGGAAAGACTAGCTCCCTACTGGGCACTGTAATGGTGGGCATGCCTATCCTTATGCAAATAGCAACTTTCATTACTTCAGTCAACCTGAAAACTATGATTGGCAGTTGTAGAGGAATGCAAAGTGTCACATTTAATCACAAACATCTCACTTAGTCTATTATGTCACTGTGCATACAGTTTATTCTTAACTCAACATTTTGAATTTTTTCGTATTTTTGTTACCAGTGACAATAGACACAAGGACAAGTAGAGAATTGCCTCTCCTCTGCTTTGTCCAAAACTAAAAAAAATTGAAGTTTTCACCTTAGATACACTTTAAGAATAATTAATCAAAGTTGCTCTGCAGAAATAATATCTTATGTATAATTAATATTCTCACCCCTTGTTTCCTTCTCCTGCTATGGAAATGAAGTCATCCAAATCTTGATTTTCTTCAATGTACCAGTAAAAGAAAATTTAGAGATGTATAACTAAAAATTAGCATTTTCTGAAACTGACCCCATTATACAAATAATCCCAAGGGTTCAGTCTACCACAAAATGACTTTTTTAACTTTTGGTAGTTAAAACTGCTGAATTTCTTATCTAAATAGGGTATCTGGATTTAAGTTCCTGAATCTTCATGCCTACTGTTACCATTATGAGGGGTTGCCCTTCTCATCCAAGACTCCCAGATGGATAGGAACAGAGTTTGGTATTACAGACTAAACTTTTAACACAAATAAGAATGGGTCTTCTTCTGCACTCATAGAGACATGGTGGAAAATGTCATTAAGGCCAGCCCTGAGTGTATTCAGCTTCCAGGTTGCACAACATCCCTGGTTGTTATAGTGTAGGTAGCTGCCTACACTATTACATCTAAATTACAATAAAGTTGTGTTATGCAAACATCAATGTCGCTGTGCACTGCCTACATTTTAGCAACCAACGGGAAGTGAAGTGGTCTCGGCACACAACTCCCTTCTATCCAGGTAGATTGGCAGTAACATATTTATTGACTACATTTCCTGTTCTTCTTCCTATAAATATAATTACACTTCCCAATCAAGTGGGTTCTAGGTGTGTTGTTTATTTCATATTGCAGGTTATTCCTTTGTGTCTGTCTTTGAGCACCTTTGACCTTAGGTGGTATGAATTGTATACTAGGGATTTTAAGATATCTTCAGAAACAATTGAGTACTGATGTGATACTTTTTTTATTTGCACTAACATACAATTTTTAGGACAAGCTTTCGGGGTATGTCCCCTTCTTCTTCAAGGTCCAGGCAGTACCTTGAGTACTGCCTGGACCTTGAAGAAGGGGACATATCCTGAAAGCTTGTCCTCAAAATTGTATGTTGTGCAAATAAAAAAAGTATCACATCAGTACTCAATTGTTTCTGTCGCAAGTGCACTAATACGGCTACAATCACCTGAAAGCAGATATCTTCAGTGAGGACAATTTGGGGCACTTTAAAGAAGTACCAAAGCTCTCAATATATGCCACTAAAGCCGCCCATAGATGATGCGATTTTCTTTCCAGCAACCACGGGTTGCACGGAAAAAAATCACTCCGTTTAACGCAGTCAGTGTTCATGGGGGAATCCCTCCAGTGGAGCTATTGTGTTCTCCTGACGGGGACAGCACAGTGATTATTGCTAGTGCTATAACCGCTGGCAGTAATCACCTAAAAAATCCAACAGGCTGATTGCACCCAAGTTGTACAATCAATTTGAGTACAATCAACCTGCCCATAGATGGTTAAAATCTTGGCTGGTTCCTGTTGAACCAGCCAATATTTGAACCATCAATGGCTGGCTTTAGTTTTTTTCCATCTTCAGCACAAATATAGTCATCTCATATATGCTTTTCGTACACATTGTCACAATAATCTAAGTCAGGGTAAGACAAGAAATGCTAAAAATGTTTATTTTATAGGTGTTGACCAAGCAGAGGGGTGTCCTTTGGGGGCTAAGTTTGGGTGCTTACATATTAGTATTTCATTATCGTGTTTATTGCTCTGTTGAAGGGTAAGTTTATCATTAAATTCATGAGTTAGGCTGAGGTTAGTTTAGGGATTAATGTAGGTTAAAGGGCAAATGCTGAAATTAAAGTATATCTCAAGGCAAACTTTTTTTTATTTTGGATTTTTCTCACTTTCACTTCCAAAGATAGTTGTCACTAAGACAATAGAGAGTTAATCTGATGGGCACATAGAAAACAAAAAAAAAAAAAAACCTTAAAAGGGTTCTGACCTTTCTCTGCTCTATCAAAATCTAAACATAAAAGATTTGGCATTAGATTCACTTTTAGGCCATAGATGGATCGAATCTCAATCAGCCAGTTCAGCAAAGACAGGCTGAGAATTGATCCATCTTTTATGCTGCAACTCATAGTTCATCTTCTATGGCATTAGTGAGTGTCAAGTTTTCAGGTGTGATAAGTGTGTAACATTATAAAAGCTGTTTGTGCAGTAAATATGTGCAGCATTTTTGGCAACAAAACTCTCAATGCAGGGAAAAAACATGTTGATTCTTGAAAGCCAAAAACAAACACATCAAACTCAAAATGGCAAACAAGAGTTTTACAATAAAAAATTATATATACTATGAATGCATATGAATGAATACTATGAATGTGCATATTATTAGCATGATCTCGCCTTACTTATGAAAAACTGAATGACAGATGACACAATCAATAAACAAACCTTTGTGTTAAAAAGCCAGTCATGTGCCATCTGCAATATTTTGCAGCTCAATATGCAGGACACTTGGGTTGTGCTGCACTACAATGCATTGCAACACACGTGTATTTTGGAAGAGCATTGGCTGTCATTTACAATTAATTAAACTTCAGTGCACAACAAACGTAATGTGCATTAATGCAAAAGGATTGGTGTTGCATTGCAGAGGTCTGGCCAAACTTGCTGCAGGTTTAATTTTCAGTCCACTGAGGTGTGTTGGCAGTCCGTTCACATGAATTGGCTGCCACAGCGCAATTCATATTAATGTATAACATAATGCACATAAACGCTTGTGCGTTGAACACACCGCAGTGAACCGCCATGATTTGAATGAACCCTTATCCCTCCAACTACTAATCCTACTGTGCTTATGTCATATACAGTAGTTCTATTACTTATGCAGTTTACTTACCCCTTATTTGTACTGACAGTGTTAGTATTTTTAATTTCAAAAGGTTGTCAAGATTTTGTGTCCTGAAAAATATACATGCATTATTGTTTAATAAAACACTCACACATGCACATTATTGTTTAAACAAAGCAAAACACACACATTATTACAGCTATTTAAAGAAAACCTCTACTGAGAGAAATACAGAGGTGGTCATTGTGATCTCCTTCTAAGTATATTAATTTCCTGGCTGTCTCTGGATTTAGTACTTTCTTAGTCACTGATCTGGAAAAAGTATGGAGATTATAAAGCTGGAGTGAATTCAGAACTCCAAATCTGCATACGGTACTTTTCAAGCACCAGGTATATTTAGAACAGGTCACAAAAGCAGTCTCCATATTACCTCAGTAAAGTTTTTTAGTGAAACAGTAGTTAGAAGAACACATGCTTAGTTGACAGTAGCAGCATTATTTAAATTCCTTTTCTTCTTCCTGATATCCCCATGCCACCCTCCCTCTGGGGTGGCTATATGGGTTGGCTGAAGCTGTGGCCTGTGGATGTGAGTTGATTTCCAGGTAAGTATTGGGTATAATTCACACCATACACATTCCTTGCCAAAAAGCCAAGATAGACTCTCAACAATGCCTTAGTATACTATATACCTAGTCCAAAAACTTCCCAATAGGTTTACCAGAATACAAAAATAAGTATCTTCAATGTTATAAGCTTTCTTTAGGCATTGTCACAATAAACCAAACTGGATAGGACCAGTTAACAAGTAAATGATCAGCATAATAGCTTTGATCTTTGTGGGGTGCTGCCTTGGGAACTATGTTTGTCTGCCTACATTAGGGGTTTAGAAACTTTCTAAACAAAGGACCAGTTTATTGTCATTCAAACTTTAGGGGGGCAGACTGTGCTGAACGGGAGTAAACTATGCTCTTTCATATCAGTGAGAGGAATAGCCCTCCATCATTGTGTCATTGGGAGGAATTGTGTCCAATTGATGATGTCAGTGCAAGGAATTATGTCCCATTGTTGGTGTCAGTGGAAGGAATAGTGCCCTATTGTTGGGGTCAGTGGCAGGAATTATGCCCCATTGGTGATGTCAGTGGCAGGAATAATGCCTCAAGGTCTGGAAAAAGGCAAGCAAAGGGTCACATCTGACCCCCGGGCTGCAGTTTGGAGACCATTGGTCTACATGATACAGTGATGGAAACCAGCTTTGAATGTACTGAAAAAAAATGAATACAATTCACTGTTAATATTGCCTTGATAGTAAAATTTGGGTTTTATTTAGGGGTTAAAATCAGGCTAAATGTTAAACTTATAAGTTAGGTTAATGTTAAGGGTTTAGGGGTTAATTTAGGTTTAAGGGCAATGGTGAGCTTAAAGGCCCATTCTCAGCCATGGGAACATGCATGTAACCGCAACACATGTTAGAACACTATAACACATTAGTACATTGTAGTTCTGATGATTTTCATGCATTGTGGTGCACTGTTTTGCTACACATTGTACGTCTTTTGTTTTGCCTGTTCTGATGCATTCAAATAAATGAATGCCCATTCAAATAAATAAACTCCCTTGACACAAAGTGCATTAAATAGGCACGCCACAAGAAGCAAAAAACTAAAACACACAACACATGTTGCGGTCTGAAATTACAATCACCTTTAGCTCTACCATCAACTGTAAAGTAGGGGCCTGCCTGACTGTATATAAATTCAATGCATAGTTCAGAGGTTCTCACAGTTTTTATAAAATCTAAACCAAGATTGTACAGTCAGTTTGTACTTTAACACATCATCAACCACAGGATAGCACACAAACTTTTTATAATAAAATGTTGAAAATTTCTAATGAACAGAATACAAAAAATTGTTTTAAGCAGCCAATTGGGCTAAGGATAAATTGGAAGCAAAACTGGAAAACCCAACTCAACCTGATTGGGATTTTGAGGGAATAAAGTTTTGGCAGCCTGGTAAACCTTCAGAAACTCACATCATGAGAGTTAAACAGCCACCTAACCAAAAGTGGTTTTCCCACTGTGGAAACTTTGACTGACTGAATTACCTGCAAGTTGAGAGATAAATAAACTATCAACACCCACCCAAATCAGAGTTAACAGTTTTGACTTGGCCTATTCATCTACAGTGATTGTCAAATAAATCTAATAATTTCTATGTTGTACTTACCCCTTATTTGTACTAGCAGTGTTAGTATTTTTAATTTCAATTAGATTGTCAACATTTTGAGTCCTGAAAAATATATATATGTAGTATTGTTGAATGAAATTATACTAACACAAGATTGTTTAAGA